GAGTTTTAGTGATGGAACCAATGTGAATGTAGGATAAGTAAATGGATCCATTCACCATCTTGAAATGTTACTTCTACTAAGTTCAGTGCTCCAATGTGTTCCTGCATCAAGAAGCACCCTTACATAACACACGACTCAAGGAACGTATTTCAATGCCTGCTATATATGAAACGCCTGAATAGTAAGGAGAATACGATAGTGAAGAAGACTGTCCAGAGAGATGCATACTTCGCCCATACAGATCAACTTCTTGGTATGTGTGCAGACGAGGACGTGATTGTTAAAGAAAAAGGTTGTGTTAGTGATAAGAAATTTTAGAGAGGAGAATAAGCAGATGGAAGAATACACTGACAGATCTGATGGGGACAAAAAAAAGATTCTGCTGCTGCTATTGACGAAGATTTGCTAAAGTACACCGATGATGATGAGGACAATGAAGATGGAGATAAGAATAACGATGTGCCTACTGTAGTCCACACGAGAAAATTGCTGACTCCCAAACTAAAGTGGCAAGCAAAAAAACTATCATTCCGTTACTAACTGAGCGAATAAACTCAAGAATGAGCCTCTTTACATTGGTTCTCTATCAGATCAACAGGTTAATGACATTCTGGAGACACCATTAGTAGTGACCAAGTGGCCAAATTGTACTCAGGTGTTAGAAAGAAGTACAAAAGTGATGTCCGAAGCATGTACTGAAGTAACGGGATACAAAGCGAGAGATGGATATATTAGATAAAGTTTATTTAGGAAAATGATGCCAGGTTCTGCATAAAACAAAAGAAGAAAAAGATTTTATTATTAATTTGTAATATTTTAATTTGATGTATCTCTTAAATATTGGGATTAAATTGATGTCATCAATATACAATTTATTATTATTCTGGAAAACAATAAATGACTTTTGTTGTACAGTAAAAGTTGAATAAAGTCGATCGTGTTGCTGCAGGGAAAGTGGACATTCAATGGCCTGTAATTTTTCACGTGTTTGTTACAATCATAAAAACGATGGCTGAAAAGTGTAGCTCACAACACCAAAAATGTTTTTCTTCACTGCTCCCTAGTTAGTCTACGCATATCTATCTATCTATCTATCTATCTATATATCTATCTATCTATCTATCTATCTATTTTATTGTACTCATATCTATCTATCTATTTTAGTGTAATCTATCTATCTATCTATCTATCTATTTATCTTTTTTCGTCTACTCATATCTATCTTATTATACTCATATCTATCATAGTCTAATCATATCTATTTATTTTAGTTTACTTATATCTATCTATTTTAGTCTACTCATATCTGTCTATCTTAGACTATTCATATCTATGTATTTTAATTTACTTACATCTATCTATTTTAGTTTACTTTCATCTATCTATCTATCTATCTATCTATCTATCTATCTATCTATCTATCTATCTATCTATCTATTTATCTATCTATCTATCTATCTGATTATGTTTTTAGCTGCATGTTTTAAATGTTTTATTGTTCATAATTTATATTATTTTTTTTATTATGAACAATAACATCATGCACAAAAATATGCAAAATCACATGTATGGGTGAGTGTCTTTTTTCCATGTGCTATCACCGTCCATGGTAGCGAGGGTGTGCATGTATTTATATTAGGATACATTTGTTTTTTATCAATGTTCTACTGAGAGAATATTTATTTGGATTATGTTTCGTAAATGGAAAAATGGAATAAAACGCTTCAAGATTCTTTCCAGAGGACAAAAAAATAAGGATGGGTGAGTGAAAAAAGTATAGAGAGCGCGCGCGTGTGTATGTGTTTGTGTGTGTGTGTGTGTGTGTGTGTGAGAGAGAGAGAGAGAGAGAGAGAAACTGGAAGAGAAATAAATAAATAAATAAAGTAATCACATAATTAATGAAACATTTAAAGCAAAGAAACAGAAATAATTTTGTCTTAGACAGAAGAGGGGGATGAGATTTTACTTTTTTTTTTTTTTTTTAAATTCATTTTGATTTGAAAAAGGGAAAAATACGGTGTTCTTAAATTACTGAATAACTTACAGTTAATGGACCAATCTAAAATTTTTACGAAACCTAACCTATGCTGAAACAAAATACCCATTTTGTTGCAAAAATAATCCCGGGATATTTTTCACTGTAAATCTTTGTTCCAGAATATGGAATCTAATGAAAACAAACAAATAAATAAATGTTTAAATAAGAAAGTTCATTCATCTCGTTCAAAGGATAAGAAAAATAGCATTTTTATATGAGCCGTGAATTTTCTTGCCACTACTAAATTTCACGTAACTCCTTCCACCTTTTATTTATTTAAAACGCATATGAAGTAGGAGGTCATGGACAAGTTGAAGACAACGCCCTCATCTTCCACTCGAGGCAATACATTTAAATGAAATAAAATGACAAAGAAAATAAAAAGATAATATTGTCAGTGGGAAGTCTTATCGAATCACTTGTCAATCTTTTCTAATGTCTGCCGAAATAAAATCTTATACTGCCGTTCATTATTTTGATTTCTTATCTTGTATTTGTCACTAGTTATTACTTTTTTTCATTTGTTTCATTTTTGGGGTATTGTGTATGTACATGCATTCGCTTGTATTACTTCTTCATAGCTCTTTACCGTCTGCATGTTACAAAATGTACAGCTTCCTTTATAAGCGAAACCTTTTAAAATAATTTTTCTTCGCTAAATGTGGAGGATTAATCAGAATTTTCTTTTGCTTTTTCTTTGAGGTATAATTTTTTTTTATTGTTTTTCTCATTTTTAATTATTATTATTGTTGTTGTTGTTGTTGTTATTATTATTATTATTATTATTATAAAACCCTGTTTTCTATTCTTTTTAGTTGCCTTTATGAAAATTTATGTGATATAAAATCGACTTTTATTCGTTGCTACAACATGGAATCACGTTTGTTTATACCTGTGTACGTGTTTATCAGCTTTGTGAGTTTATGTGCTTCTGTGTATGCCATAGTTAAATTGAAATGAAAAGATCTGTATAGAAATGAATGGATGAATACTGCGTAGGTATATGTGGGTGGATATGTCAGCATTCTGAGCACGATTGTAAAGGAGAATAATAAAAATATTGTCTGCGCGGGTACCAGGTACAATATAAAAGATGCTATTTAAAAGTTCTGAGAATTGATATAATTAAAAATCATTTGCAACAAATACTTTTCACTGTATCCTTCTAAGAATTAGTCTTACCATGTATTCAGCGACCGTAAAGACTTTTCTACCAGGTACAATACGAACATTCGTACAATATTTGTATCATGTGAGTTTTTCAAATTCCATGAACTTTTGACTTGTGCGATGTATATGTAATTAATTTTCTGATGATTCTAAAATCCCATCATAATTTGCAGAATATTGTGCCAAGGTTTCGCTCTCTCTCTCTATCTCAGCCTGCATACGCGAGCGCGCGCACACACAAACATACAAATAACGTAAATACTTGTAGTCGTACATACAAGCAAATATACATGCTTGTAAATGAATATAGCCTTTTCTATAAAAACAAACTTTTACGCTAAGTGCACCATGACTTTGTGAATTTAAGCGCAGTACAAGGTTAACAGCTTGGTCTCATTGTGTACAATTAAAATGACTTGATGTAACCGTAAGTTCTATGGTAAGAATTTCTTCTATCGCACTTTTCGCTTGTGGAACTCTCTTCCGGCTTCTTGCTTCCCAGTCAACCTTGACTTTCAAAAGTTTAAATGAAATGTCAATTGTTATTTTCTGTCTTCATTATCCTTCTTTTGATATTTTCTCTCCTTAATAGTGTTTTTCTCACATTCTCTAACACTCAGTAACACCTTGTGTCTTAGTGGCTTTAATGCCTTGCTTGCGATGAAATAATTAAAAATTAGGTTCACAAGTGTATGTATGTAGGTGTGGATCAATAACTATATAACATGATACATAATTTTTTAACTATGTGATTAATATTCATTGAAGAATTAAGTGCAACAAAAGAGACTCCGTTGCCAAAATCAGAGACAAGAAATAGAATAGGTATTTACTCTGTCTCCCCACTAAGACAAGTTGTGACACAAGGTCATTTTTAAGGCGGGGAGCAGAGCGCGTACACACGGGCTTAAAAATAGACTATGATAAAACAGAATGCGTTGAAAAATAAATGTGCTACATAACATAAATTCTTACTTTTCAAAATTAGGATACGGACTGATATCTATGTATATCGTATTTATGCAAGTGTTAGATCTCTGTATACATGCATACTGATAATTGAAACTTCAGTAATACGCACACCAAAAAAATAATTGGATAAAAGGTGAGACATGATTGGAATATTACTATTTCTAATCGAGAAAACTGTAGCAATAAATCACAATATCAATAAACTTTTCAGTTAAAACATTGTATCGTATATAGCTTGTCACACCAAAATCTAATAAAATCTTTAAACGTTTCTGGTGATTAGTAACAAATTTATTTCTGAGTTTTTTGTTCAGTAACAAGAACCAGGAAAATTTCATGGCTGAAATAGTAATGTAACTATAAATACGTGTGTACATTTTTCTCTAAGGTTATTTTAGATGAGACATTTTATCTATAATAACTTTTTTCTTAGCTTTCCTCCAAATACTTCTTTACTTATTTAAGACAATGTTTATAACTGACCCATTTTTTAGACTTTGAATTAAACTGATGAAAACCTGACACGATTAGAACGCGAATCTCATACTTTAGAAATTTACCTATCACAGGTAAAATTTTATTAGTCTATCGAGATGTCATGATTGGGTAGAAGTTATTTTCTGTCATTGCGTTTTTCTTTCTAATCTCTTAAATGTTGTGCTGATGATTTTGAAAGGGGAAAATGAAGAAGAGAATGAAAAATCTCCCTACTGTATTTTTCGGAATATAAGACGCACCTGTATATAACACGCAGCCTTATTTTGAATATAAAATTTTGGAAAAAAATCTAGTCTTATTTGAAAGATTTTATTGACCACAATTTCAATATTATTCTTCAAAATTAGTATAGTTTTTTTTAAGCACAATAGTTCAAAACAACAGAATAATAAAATACAATCTTGTTCTTTTAAGAAATTTGGGGAACCATCTGACCCCTAAAATTATCACCCTTATTAGTCTCTTACCTCCTTTCGACAAAGTATTCGAGGCCCTAATCAATGCCGAACTTGTTAAGCATTTTACTTCGCATGACCTCCTTTCGGACAAACAATATGACTTCCGATTCGCTAATGCTACCATCAACATGTTAAGAAGCTTAAGATAAGAATGGCGAAACTCAGATTTGACTCTAGGACATCTCGAAGGCATTTGACAGTTATGCTTTGGTATGCTGGCCTTCTATGCAAGCTCGTGGGCTACGGTATCAGGGATGAATATTTGGCTTAATCCAATCGTTCCTAACCAATCGAATAATGAAGGTCGCTTGAACAGGCACGCTTCCAGATCATCAGGTCCTCCAGGGTTATATTCTTGGACTTATGATGCTGTTTTTGATCTTCATCAATGATCTCTCTGATGCCATCAGTTCCCAAGTAGGTATTTAATCAGATGACTACCATTTAATCCTGTATTAGTAGTAAGTCCAACAAATCCAACAAAATAAACCTGGCAATTACTATTGAAAAGACTTCCAATCAGTTGTTAATTGAGGCAAGATATTTTGTAAATTTCAACGCTTCCAAAACAAAACTACTTTCATTTAATTACTACAGAGAACTTTCTCTTCCTACCATCATGATGGTTGATACTGAATTCCAAGGGAACAACATCCTATGCCTTCATTGACATAAAATGAACCGACTATATCGGGTTAATTGCTATATCTGCTGCCATGAATGTTGGTTCGTCGTGTCGTACCAAAAAAGTTTTTCTCTTCAGAATCCATCTAGCACATTTCTAAATCTACTATTCGTTCGTGTATTCAATACTGTTGACATATTTGATCTGGTGTTTTTACTGTGCTTTTCGAGATTCTAAACAAAATCCAGAGAAGAGTCTGCAATATAATCGATCCTGACCAGGCATTTCGTCCCCAGTCACTTTCTCATCGACGTGACCTGTCTTCCCTCTGCCTGTCCTACAAATATTTTTATGACAATTTCTCGGATGTTTTGCCCGGTGTCCAGACTACATGAATTTAAGCGTGCTACTAGATTGGCAACTAGGTCCCACCTAATTATTGTTGAACTAGCTAGATGCAACCGCCACTTCTACTCTAACAATTTTTGATTGCATTCCCACCTCCCTGTGGAACTCCCTTTTGATTACTTGCTTTTCTGATAACTACAATCTTCACAAATTTAAATCCAACGTCAATGGTCATCTTATCTCTTCTTGAATTCTGTTCCTTTTTTGTTCTTTCCTGAATCCTCATTTCAATCTCATTCTCATTGTCTTTCATTTTCACTCCATGTAGCACTCTGCGTTCTAGTACCATTATCATCT